GGTCCTTACTCAGGGGCACAGGGTCCTTCTGGTCGCCCCCCGCTGGCCAGGGAGAGTTTGGTTCCCACTGCTGCGCAGTCTCTGCTGCAGCCCACCATGGCGTCTCCCCGACAGGAAGGACCTTCTGTCACAGCTCAGGGGTCAGATCTGGCATCCCGACCCTCAGCGCCTTCAGCTCTGGGCCCAACCCGCTGTTGAGCGTTTTCACGGCATCTGTCAGGGAAACTATCCTGAATGCCAGAGCACCATCCACTCGAGCGCAGTATGAGTGCAAATGGAAGCTCTTCTCCCACTGGTGTTTGAGTAAGGCCACCATTTTAGAGTTCCTGCAGTCCCTTCTGGATAGTGGACGTTCTCACTCCACTTTGAAGGTGTATATGGCTGCTATCTCTGCCCGACATGTTGGAGTCGACGGCGCCACGGTGGGGCGCCACAGGTTGGTGTCCCTCTTTCTGAGAGGGACACTAAGGCGGCGTCCCCCTAGCACCCCGAGGGCTCCGGCTTGGGACCTGCCCCTAGTGCTGGATGCCCTATCATCTCCTCCCTTCGAGCCCCTGGCCCAGGTGGGGCTTAAGTGGCTGTCCTTGAAGGCAGCATTTCTGCTTGCCATAACCTCAGGGAAGCGAGTTGGAGAGCTACATGCCCTCTCTGTGAGCGATACATGCCTGAGGTGGAACTCCGATGGCTCGGGTGTTGCCCTCTGGCCGAATGTGGTGTTCCTGCCCAAGGTGCTTCCACTAGCCCACTCCAATCGGCCTATCCAGCTGGCACGCTTTAACATTCCACAGGAGAGCGGCACGCCTGAGTTGCTGTGCCCTGTGCGTGCCCTAAGGGCGTATATTGATGCTACGGCCTGTATACGGCGGTCAGAGCAGCTCTTCGTTTGCCATGGCGGCACTAGGAAGGGTTGTGCTTTCTCTTACCAGCGGCTGTCCCACTGGGTTGTCGATGCCATCTCACATGCCTATGGGGCCAGTAGCCGCCCCCTGCCATCAGGGCTGAGATGCCCCTCTACAAGCATCTCAACATCTTGGGCTGCCCTGAGAGGGGTGCCCCTGGAGACCATCTGCGCCGCGGCATCATGGGCGTCTTTTGGCACATTCTCCATGTTTTTATCGGGTTAATGTTGCCACTCCCCACCCTTTGGGCGTGGTCCTGTTGCCGAGCTCCGCTGCTTCCGGCTAGGCAAGTAAGTGCTTGGATTCTTCATGAGATTGTTGATATAAGTCATCCAGTGCTAAAGCACCGCCTCTGTCAGTAGGGACGAAATAGAACGATAGTTACGTCTGTAACTACGGTTCTATGAGTCCCGGATGACCACCAGAGTATCCTGTCACTCAGAATTCTTGTGTGCTCGCGAGAAGATTCTGGAAACAGATCCTCTGACGACACCGGCATATATAGCTGGTGTCACGTGGGTCACAGGTGACTTTGTTGTTATTGGTACTCGAGCTGCGCATGCGCGCGATGGACATATCCAGTGCTAAAGCACCGCCTCTGGCGGTCAGTAGGGACTCATAGAACCGTAGTTACAGACGTAACTATCGTTGTCTTTGCAGTTATGTGTGGCAGCATCTCGATACAGGTTACGTCCAGGGCATGTGTGATCTGCTAGCTCCCCTACTGGTTATTCTGGACGATGGTCAGTGAAACATAACTAAAAACTCTCAGTATACACTTTTTTTTTAATGCAATTAAATGGCTAAATTTGCTTTTTTATGTGTGTGCTTTCCAGAGGTCATGGCATTCAGCTGCTTCACTGAAATGATGAAGAGGATGAACCAGAACTTTCCTTATGGAGGTGCCATGGACTCTCACTTCGCCAATATGCGTTCTCTTATCCAGGTATGTGGATAAATGCGCACCAGCGGATGTGAATGAATGCATATACACAAAAGCTATAGTGTAATAATGACATCTTATTTTTACACAAATAGATCCTGGACTCTGAGCTGTTTGAACTGATGCAGCAGAATGGAGACTACACACACTTTTACTTCTGTTATCGATGGTTTCTCCTCGACTTTAAAAGAGGTGAAGGCAAACACACGCATCATGACATTTGCTAGAATTGACAATTTAAGATGATTTTATATAATGTTATACTGTATGTAATCTGATCCTGGTTGTCTTTTTTGCACAGAAATGGTGTATGATGATGTTTACTCTGTGTGGGAAACAATCTGGGCAGCCAAGTACATCTCCTCCGAGCACTTTGTCCTCTTCATCGCTCTGGCACTTGTGGAAATGTATAGAGACATCATCCTAGAAAATAACATGGACTTCACAGACATCATCAAGTTCTTTAATGGTAAGAGAAGAGAAATACAATTCTACAATATGATGGAAAAAAGTGTTGACAATTACCGGAGCGTATTCATAATCAAAACTAGATTGATCAGCTATGATATTGTAGGGTACTTTCAAAAGCAGCTCTCTCAGTCTTAAGGAGAAAATAAACAGTTAAATATGAGCAATATTATTGTAAATAATTATGGTTTTCCAATTGTTTTCTCAGAAATGGCAGAGCGACACAACGTCCCGCAGGTCTTGATGATGGCGCGAGACTTGGTCAACAAAGTACAGACGCTCATAGAAAACAAGTGACACAACTGTTCTGCTGCCACATTTCTTTGTGCTAAATTGTTTCAAGACACTGACACCACATAATAGTAATTTATTCAAAGGGAAATACATGTTTATGAAATACAGTGATTGGTAAGTCCAGTATTCTAAGATAGTTGTACAACAACTTATTCCCAGCTGCTCCTCTCTACATGTATATTCAGGGGAGATGGAATTATTGCCAGTACATTTATTTTGTATGTGATATTGTTCACCTAGTGAATGTACCCTTGTTGGAACTGCTTCAGGATGTTATTTATTTGCCTTAAATTAAGCTATTTTTTCAGGGATCCAGCAACCAAATTATTCACTGTATTGTTATTTTTGTTCAGTTACACGTACATCTTGTGATGCACTTGAATATATTTTAAATATCATCATTTTTTGCTGAAATTGTAGCTACCATGACTAACCTTCTTGAATATATTTTCAGTAATGATGTCCACCATTACTGGATGATTTGGTTTTGTGAGCGTTAAATGTACATTAGATGAGTTTGAGTCTAAGTAGCATGTGTGGTTTGCTTCTCAACAGCCATTTTAGGACAAATTACCGGCTTCTCTGAGGCGTGATGGTCCTCTTCCTGTTTTTGCCTCTAATGCACACAAGCTTGGAGGAAATCCAGACCCAACCTGTGATCTCTGTGCACTCGGGCATGATTGCATATAGTTTGCATATAAATACCATATTTCCTCTTGTACCGTTCCTAAACATTGAGCTCCTTCTATCTCTGACCTTGGCTATGCATTGTTTCTTTGCAGACTGGTTCTTGCTACTGGTTCAATGCAGACACATTTTTCTCAACTTAGATAACACTATGCTGCTCAGGCAGAAGATATATGCTGTTGTTTTTTCACAACATCAAGATAGTACAGTGCCAACAGATTCTACTTCCTTTCAGCATTGCGGTAGCTGGTGTGGTTGATTTTGAGCTGGTGGTAAACTAAAAGTGGTGTGCAGTGAAGGCAGCATGCTTCCTTTGCACTCTCTTATTCACTTTTACCCTACAATCAATGTTATGGTTTTCTGCCAATTTATTGCCCTGCCATCTTGGTTGCCTTGTCTCTAAAACGCTCTAGTCTTACAATACCTGTAGCTATTTCCTGGAGTAAATGTGCATTTATCTGTATTACCTCAAGATCCCTGTGTTCATAGCAGTTGAAAAAGAGCTCTGCTCCTCATGAGGTTTCAGATCACATACATGGTTTCAGTTTGGCTTTGTCCCTTTTTCTCGCCTACATTTTGTTTCTTCATTTTGTTCAGCACCCTCCACCTTGATAGGCTACTTCCGTAGTTTGATCAGTTGAAAGAGCAGTGAACTTGTGCTCAGTCTATTGAAGTGCATTTATCATTTTTGACAGCAATGGTCAGCAGATTTACTTTAGATACTCCCGAATTGAATTGTATTTGTTCAGCTAAAATTAACAAATAATGTTCAGGAAGACTTTATATCAATAGTTTTAATTGGCCTAACGGGGTCTGTGATAATCAGTTTAGTAGATATTCCAGAGGGATGTCCCAAATGTTCAACACAAATAGAAAATTCTCTATGTGACCTATAGTTTCATTGGTGCCACTTACAATTGCAAAATAGCCATAACACACCCTTGTTTGGTTCACAGCAGCTTACCCACAAGTGTTTGGATTCCACTGCTAATGTCTCCATATGATCTTCTAAAACATGCCTGAGTATTGCTGTTTGTGTATTGCTGTGTTTGTTGTCAGAAGATTTACTGTAAACAATGTGTTTGAAAGAAACTAAGCTCGTACATAGTTATATAAATGCAATACGATGTCTGTATATGGTCTTTATCTGATTATAATGAACAGAAAGATACAAATATGCCATTGGAAATAAATATATTTTTATGTTTTTTCTCTGTCCTCTCAAAATTGTCACCTGGTAAAGTTAATTTATTGCGTATTAAAAAATATTATATTTTGCATCCCATGTGCCTGGTTTTTATCTCCGCACTTTACACTTTTATACTCAAGTTTAGAGACGCTGATTTCATTTCTGCAGGGATTTTGATGAAAGAGCTGGACTACAACAGCCTTGATTTTGTGCATTTCAGAAAGTACTATATCTTTACTGACCATGTTGTATATTTGACAGCTTTCTGTTAAAGTTTTTTACAGCTTGCCATTATCAAAATTACAATAAAATATTTGCTTAGCTTTAAATACAGGTCACAGTTGCAAATAATACAATTGGTTATAGCTGCTAAGGGAGCCTGTAATTGTGCATGCCAGCTCAATAGGACATTTGAATAAAATAAAGCCATGGTTAAGGTTACTAGTAACATCTGCTTCAACCTTTTGAAAATGAGTTAGATTAATAGTAGTTAGGATCTATTAAAAACAAAAAGACCATACAAAGTTTGCATTTTTATTGTAAAGAAAAAACAACATTAGAGATGCATACAAATGATAATCCAACTACAGGCCACCTCGGTCACACATAAAAAAAGAAATCTGACAGGTGAGACTCACAGTCAACATGTGGCACTAGTCTAAAAGGCTCACAGGATACATGTTTTGAATCAGAGTAGGATATTGATTAGCTTCACAGATTCTCAGATTGGCAAGTGTATGATTAAATCTACTGGATGAAACACACAATAAGAAAAATCGTGTCAAGAATTTAAGCAATATGACTTTTAGCCTAAAAGCTTATCTTCCCCGTCAAGGTTTGACACCACACCCCAGGATTTCTTTATAAAAGAAATCTGCAATACATTATATGATAATCAAATATAATTACCTCGCTAAGAAAGAAAAAACAACAATCCCGATTCCAGATACCACAAATGGGTGTTTAAAAAACAAAGACAAATTATCTTTAAGGCATTGGGGAGGAGCAGGGTGATCGTGAAGGTGAACATGGAATGTAAATAGTAATAACAATGACTTTTCCTACGAGGAGGCCTGGGGTTTAAAAAAATTTAAAAGTAGAATTACAAAACATTTCCCCCAATTCCTCTATAAATGGCGTGCATTTTTATCGGTAATGACGTGGTGGTGGTGGTGGGCTATGGTGCTGTGGAGCGTGCCTCCTGGGGGGTGGACTATGGCGTGGACTATGGCGTGGACTATGGCGCGGACTATGGCGCGGACTATGGCGCGGACTATGGCGCGACATAGCATGGCGTGGAGGTGACTGGTAGCGAGCAGGAGGAGACCCTCTGTTATGGTAGGGAGGTGTACAGCGACTTCTGGATCTGGAGCGGGAACGTGAACGGTTAAAGCTGGGAGTGCCCCGTTCCTCGTAGACACGGACGTAAGCAGTCTCACCCTACAAAAGGAGGAATATTGGATATTGTTCGTTTTAACCTCTTAAGATTAAAAAGGGACATTTGAATCTCAACAGCACAGGCACTCACCTGATGTGAGCGGAACTCGGTCCGATCCAGTCTGCGCAATGCGTACTCCATGTCCTCTCTACGGAGGAACTCTACCACCCCGTCTCCATCACGCTGCACATCTGCAAAACAAACATCCCCTGCCTCGCGCATATGATCCTTCAGATCCTGCCAGCTCCCAGTTGGTGGTAATCCTGAAATGGGAAAAGACTACATTTGTTAGGGACAGAAATGACTTCCTTCTTTTAAAGTTCAAATACCTGGAAACCTTAGTAATAGGTTTAAAAGCATGTTTTATGAAGTTTGAGCTTATCATAATTAACAAATCTTATCTAATCAAATCCAAGCAGTCCTAATCTACAGCTGATATTAGCATGCTTGTTTAAACGGTAGCATACAACAGTTATTGCTGTAATGACAAAAATACACCTACCATTCGCTATAGTTGGTGTTTGGGTTTATGCAGCCAACATGACCGGTTTCCGTTAATGTTTGGTTTTTCATGACTTAAAAAGCTGACTTGACCTCATCCATTTAGTCCCCTTGTCCTTCAGTCCGCCAAGAAAGAGAGTAACACTTCTGCCTAAAACTTGTATGTCCTTAACTAGGTCTCTTGTCCTCCAGTCCGTGAGAGAGAAGATCTACCTTAGACTCATGATGTCCACTACTAGTCCCCTTGACCTTCATCCGCCATGAGAGAAACATATCTGCCTATGACTGATGACGTCCTTTACTAGTTCCCTTGTCCTTGAATCCGGCATGAGAGAGAGAGAGACATACTTGCCTATGACTCAAGATTTCCTCTACTATTCTCTTTGTCCTCCACTTCACCAAGAAAGAGAGAAACATATCTGCCTAGGATGGATGATGATCTTTTTAGTCCCTTTGTCCTCCAGTCCGCCATTGGAGAGAGAAAAAGTTATCTGCCTACGGCTTGTGATGTCAAATACTAGTTCTCTTGTCCTCCAGTCCACCATGAGAGAGAGTGTGAAACAAATCTTCCTACGGCTCATGATTTCCTCTACTAGTCTCTTTGTCCTCCACTCCGCCAAGAAAGAGAGAAATGTACTGTCTACAACTTGCGACGACCTTTACTAGTTCCCTTGTCCTCCAGTCCGCCATGAGAGAAAGGGTGAAAGTATCTTCCTACGACTCTTACCACCAACACACTCCCATTCACCATGAGCTCCAGAAGACAGCGAAAGAGAGAATTATGATCTGGCTATGACTCATGACGTCCACCTACCAGTAACCATGACCCGGAATTCAGATCTTCGAGTTGGGGGTCCAAATCTTCCTTTAGGTCCTCCAGGTCCTCCTCCTCCTCCACCTCCACCTCCACCACCTCCACCTCTTTCTCCTCCTCCACCACCACCCATAGGACCAAATTTAGCACCAGCGGATCGAGGGTACTCCACTCTCAGCTTGGAGTCTCCATATCCATATCCATTCCTTCCATAGACAGCATCATCTGCATCCCTAAGAGAAGAGAGCAAAGAACTCCTTACCAAAGTACGCTTGTTTGCTTGCGGACAAAGGTCTGGAAATGCCGTCCCCATCCAGTCCCTGCTGCCAGTCACTGGAGACGGGGGACAAGGGGAATGTGATTTGATGTGCCAAACACCATCCCTAAAACTCACCGTGGGTCTTCAAATCGGACGAATGCAAACGGGATAGTGCCTCTATTGTTCTTCAATTCAATGTCCCGGATTTTTCCATATTTGTAGAAGAGATCCTCAATGTCTCTCTCCTGGACATCCACTGGAAGATTCCCCACATAGATCCGTCCATCTGACATGGTGGTTGAGTGATTGGCACTGCTGACACAGAATGGGGGCACCTGCAGACTTTTAGATCACTTCTTGCTTTCACAAATAGCTGTTGAAGTAGTCCTTATTCTACTTCCTAGTTCCAATCCGAGACTTAGTCCATCCACCTGCAAGTCCTCCATTTAATTCAAAGTAAAGAATATTTAAAAGCAGAGATCTAGCCACGAGTAGTAAATGATGAGTTCAAAACAAAATGGCACAGGCCCTCGGACCCAAGCCTGAAATCTTTAAAAAAAAAACATAGTAATAAATGTGAATCTGAGTCATACATGTTAATATACATTTCGAATGTTTAACAATTGGGTGACAGATTAAAGCAAACATATGTTATGACTTTATGGCCCTAAAACCTACTCATTGGTTGTAATGCGTTCAGACCTGGTGATTGTAAAGGCTATTCAAAATGATTTACGATGTTCCATTATTCATTAACCCTGGCTGCCTCATAAGAAAGCCTCTGCACCTGTAGTGGTCTGGTTTAACCTGTAATATGTCACCTGCAAGTATTTACTTGAACATCTACCAGCACTCCCTTTTATTTTTCTAAATACTCGTATAATCGTGGTGAACGCTCTGTTGTTGTTGTTTAACTAACACGAATCTAACATTAAACGTTAAATACAAGTAAGACTTCAACTTCATTACGTTTCCGACACATTAATGTATTAGCCCATCTACATCAATGTGTCAGTTAACCAGGGGCTGAGTTTCAACTCAGCCCCTGGTTAACTGACACATTGATGTCGATGGGTTAATACATTAATTTAGTAATAACGTTAGGTAATATCATGAAATGTCCTGGTTAACAACATCACATTCAGCAGTGATAAGTCATCAGAGGAAGGTGTTTTCCCAGAAGTAACCTTAGCCTCAACACGGCTAGCCTGCCTAGCTAACCTCAGCTAGCGTCAGTTATATACATGAACGTTAGCTTGCCTTACGTTTTCTGCAACGTAACGCTGCATCTAATGAAATAGAAAACAAATAAACCGGACAGTCCAGCTTGACATGTTTTGATTTAATGTTTAAACTGACTTAAGACGTGTTATGTAGTCCAGGTAATTACGATATCGGTCTCTTTGTTGACAGGTCAGCTAGCCGGGGCTAACGAGAGTCTGTTTCCGCAACAAAAAAAACACCAATATTCCTCTCTCACTACGAAACAAATAATAAAGTAGGATACGTTAAACGCAGTTCATAAATAACAATTAAATATGAAAACAGCAAATACCTTTTACACAAGCAAGGGCACCTTCCTTCGACTATATATTGCTAGCAGTTGGCACGCTGTGCTGCTTCCTTGTTGGTTAGCAACATTAGCAAACGGGTCTGTCTACTTCTTGTTCACAATACAAGCAGACTGTAGTGAGGGTTATTGATTTGCTGCCTCCTGCCGGTAAGTGAAAGGAACATGTAACTGGCTCTGGTATTCCCGTATGGTATTCCCCCATAACCCAACTCACAATAATGTTGTAAACAAGTAGACCTAGTAGTGGTGTAAGAAATTGCCTACTTTGAGCTTTAAATTGAGTAAAAAAGCAATGATTTCATTGCATTAGAGTAGGAATACACTAATGCAATGAAGTCATCCTTCATTCCAAATGTTTCAAAGGTAAAATAACTTACATTTTGAACATCAACATATGCTAAACGTAACAAAAGTAAAAGTATGCATTAATGGCCAACTTCAGAATAGGTTGTAATTAACGATGTGACTCAAAGCTGTCAAACTAATGTAATGGAGATAAAAGTCAAATGTTTCCTTCTGAAGGGTTACGCAATAGAAATATCAATTTTTCCTTAAATCACACGATGCCCCATGGTCCTTTCTTGTGTCTTCTCACCTTTTCTCTCCCAAGACCCAATAGTCATGCCTTTTGTCTTTGTGTTGGCTCAATCCTGGTCCGGGTTGGTTCTCTGTCAACTTCAGGCATCAGGTCTCTGGATGTGTTACACAACCAATTATTACCAAATACCTTCAACAATTAGATGTGCTCTGCTGAGCAAACAAAGGGAAATCGGCTCATTAAGAAACACTTCAGAAAAGCAGCCATGGTGCACTTGATATTGTTTTTTAAACATTAAATTGATAACTACATGCATCTGTTGGAGAACCTTGTATACAACAATGCAAACAACCTCTAGAATGTTTTCATTTTAAATAATTGTGAAGCCATGGAATCTAGGGTTTGAATATTTCACTCAATGTAAATAACATAAACCTCTACTGAAGAGCTTGTACAAGCTGATACAGAACATACTGTATGTACAGTATCCCTTACAGCAGGGCTATTCAATTAGTTTGGAATGGGGGCCGGTTGATGAAAATGATCCAAAGCAAGGGGCCGGGAAAAAGATGGCTTGAAATATGAGCAATCATATTTAAGAGCTTCAGATACAGTAAATACTACAACAGCATAGTGGAGTGCATATATTGTGTTTAATTCAATCAAACAACATAGCCCCAAGGCCTTTATATATCTAAATGGCAAGTTCAGAACTCAGTAGGCCTACATGTTTCATTTGATTTCATTTAGGTGAAATTATCTAATCATTCACGCAGAGATGCAATCAATGACAGGAGTTGTCACTACAGTATAGTAGGTGGGTTCGAAACCCGAGCCCGTCTAAGTTTTCAGGCATTGTCTACCCCTCTATCTCTCAATGTAACACCCTCTCTGGAATAAAGGCACTATGGCACAAAAAAAAAATTGATTACTTTTTAACATTATACTCAAACACCCCGGGGCCGGATTTGGCCCGCGGGCCGCCAATTGAATAGCCCTGCCTTACAGCAATGATTATAACAGCTGTTACTGCTGTATGTGGGTCATAGGCCTACCTCTGTATAGGTAATATTTCTAGGTGTTTTGAAGCATGATTTATTTTTTAAGAAATGTTGTGTCTGAAAACACAGCATCACATTGACCAAACTCCTTTAAGTAGTGAAAGATGTGTTCATCCCTGCCTGTGGCCATCAGACTGTTTAACTCCTCCCTGGGAGCGTCAATATACTTGCACCTATCTATTTTTTTTTTGGTATTTTATTTAACCTTTTATTGGAAGTTTTTACCTTTATTTTATTACATTTTAAAATGGAACAACTGTCACAAAATCAGTATTAAGACAAATAAAGTATTCTGATCTTTTTCCTTGTAACAAGGTTGTTAACAGATAGTTTCAGAAGATGAAACAAGCGGAACAATTGGGTCATTCCTAGCATTCGGTGCCATTTCAGCTAGGGTATTCAAAAATAAAAAACATAATTTTCCATGTTTTCTTTTAATTTAATCTGAATGATGGCTTGTTAAAGTGTAAGAAAAATATTTTGGCCAAGCTCAGGATATTATGTTTAAAAACCTTTTTTTTTACCATCCCCAGTTACTGTGTGTCCACCCTGTTAATGTGAAAAATAGTAACAGGGTGGACATTTTATGCCAAACTTGGCTATTGCTACATGTGTGATGATAATCAAGCTAGCACTTGGTGACAACAGAAACATATATTTGATAGATATATTCACCATATTGAAATGTAAAACAAATGATCAGTTCCACTAAAAATGAGCATAACAGGGTGGACATGTTATGCTTTACCGCAACAGTTAAGTTCTTTAAAACATTAAAAAAACGTTCAAGGAAGAACGCATTCACTCTGCTTCTTGAAGATGATTTTCCCACTCAAAATGTATCCTTTTTCTTCTTGAGTCATACAAATAGTAGAATAGTAAAGGGGTGTGTCCAGAGGGATTCAAATCAGAGTAACAGGGGACATTCAAACAGGGGACACACACTTTATTTTCAATAAAAATGAATTAATAACAACAATTTCAATTTGGTGAGGAATATTAGCAAAAGGGTGATACAACAGTGACAAAAATGTAGAATTTGTTTGTATTTCTTTGATTTATTTTTGTATATCTGTTACAGAAGTTGAGCAAACATGATTTGGGACACAGCAATTTGGCCTACTTGTGCTAAAATCAGAGTAATTATTTTGAATTTTGAATATCCTGGCTAAATAACATTGTTGTTTTATGGTAGAGGGTAGACACATTTAAAACCAAGCTTTTAAAAAATAAGCATTAGACCTTTTAAATACAAAATATATGATATAATGGGGTGGGGACCTAAATGGCACCGAATGCTAGGAATGACCCGGTTACATGTTCTTATTCATATGAAAATGTGCTGTATAAAGAAAAAGTCCATAAATAAAGATCTACATCCTTCCTTATTCTCTTACTGATTAGTACACCAAACTACTTGCTATGGAAAAATCAAGCTTTAATCTCTCTCTGTTTTCCAAGAAGCTTTGAGGTCATGTGCAAAAGCATCAGTATGTGTGTGTGTGTGTGTGTGTGTGTGCGTGTGCGTGTGTGTGCGTGTGCGTGTGTGAGCGTGCACAGCCAGGAGGCAGCGTCATGTAACATGTGAGGCACCGCCTCTCTGCGCGAGATGACTTTAAATATAAACTACCCAGCGCCTCCCAGGGCAACCTCATAGCGACAGCACAGCGAGGAGAGGAAGGTCCTCGTGTTTTGTTGTCTGTAACTCGAAAAGAAAAGTAAATGTCTTACACTAAGTTCGCAGCAGCCCTTGTTAGGGCGAACCCGGGCAATGTGAGGAATGTACGCATATCACCGGGAAGATGTCGATCAACAGTGGCATCCACCAAGAGCAAAGAAGAGACACATCAACAGATCGATGGCTGCAGCGTGGTGGAAGCCGAGCCAGTGGAACTCATCAGCCAGGGCACACATGTCAAAAAGACACTGTTAAATAAAATTAGCATCGACTTCGACAACACACAGGAAGCCTACAGAAGCAAAGGAAACATTGAACTGCTTCGAAGTCTGCTGGTCTTCAAGCTCTGCACTATTGATGTCCTTGTTGAAAAGAACAAAGAGGTGAGTTGAATTAGTTTCCTCAATTAAGTTAAGAACATCAAAGTGTTTGTGCTGCTCTTAATGAGGCAAATTGTAAAGGCAACTGCATTGAGTAGGATGTCCTATTACCTAATGGAGTCTGCTGTTATAATACAATAATAATTACTATAATTGTTCTTGTTTTTCTCAGTTGATGGACCTGACTAAGAAGGTGTTTGGTCAGTGGATGTTTGAGAAGATGATGAAGTTGACCTTCTATGGTCAGTTTGTGGCAGGGGAAGACCACAACTCCATCAAACCTTTAATCAGGAAGAACCAGGCTTTTGGTGTTGGGGCAGTTTTGGACTATAGTGTTGAAGAGGACTTGACACAAGAGGAGGCAGAGAAGAAGGAAATGGAGTAAGTAATGCTTTTTCATTCATATTTCTGAATTCACAGAGTAGGAAGTGGTGTACTAATGCTCCAAACCTAGCACGGTTAATCAGCTTCAACCATAATTTGTGCCATATGTGCAACCAGACCGGTTATGTCACATGCTCAACTCAAAAGGCGTGTTGAGTCAAGTGTATTTGTATTGTCCCGTATCACATGAAGTGCAATACAAGTTCCTGACCCAGCCCATGCTCTATTTGAAGTAATACTTTCAAAGAAATTCTTGGAAAACAGGAGTAAACAAGAAGGGGCCGTTTCAAAAGAGACACCCCACACCCGGGCAAGGCATGTTGAAATAGGAGCTGTACACTAGAAAGAGCAAATGCAGGAATAATATTCAATTCAAGGCTTTATTGTCATGTACACATTAGCTACAGTGTAGATATGGCAATGAAAAAGGGTCCTCCAACAGTGCAACATGAATATATATAGGACACAAAACAAATAAAACAGATAAAATAAAATAGTGCAAGAGAATGTTATACAATATGTAATGTGAAATTGTTGCAAAGAAAAGTAGTGCTGTCCTCGACTCAATAAATTCTTAGTCTGCTAACACATTTGTTAAATAATCGACCAGTTAATTTTGTGGACAGATCTGTAAAACAGTTTCATCGCAAAGATCCATGTGAAAGCACTGCTTTGAATGTTTTGTTAACCAGAGATTTGCTCAAAAGCTCAAAGTAAGTTATTTTATGGAAATCTATCCATCTATCTAGTCAGGAGAGGTCAGCCCAGATGGATATATTTATAATAATAATACCTTAACAGTGCCACTGTTTCACTTTTAAGTTATTTCATGTTATAATGACATAACTAAGGGTAGCTACTTGACAGAATGTTACTCTTTGCCTTTACACCAAAGCAACGTGTCTCTGACTGTGGGGGAAATATTATGCAGAGGGCCTCAACAGGTCATTTTGCCTTTGGCCCCCCCTACTAGGTTAAACCAATTGCTAAGCGTAATTTAACCTTTCTAAACATATGGCACTGATAATTGCAAGACACTGGTTAAGTGTTGATCTGTTTGTCCGTTTTTTTTCTATCTGCATTTTATGTTGTGTCTCCTAAAACTATCTTGTGACTCTTTTATTTACCCACGTATACAACAACATTCCTATAAACTTATCTTATCTCTTCAGGTCTTTCGTTACCCTACGTATACTGAGTCATGCATTCTGTAGTATATTTCCCAATAAACAGTCTGTCATCTGAATGCAATCAAAACTTATGTGACCTTATTTAATCTCCAGTAGCACAACAGTGCCACACTCTATTGGATTGCCAGGACAGACCCCTCTCCTCTGATTGGTCAAGCTGGTTATTCAACTGGGGCATGTAGGCCTACCTCCTTACAACACTGCCAGCCTTTTAGAGTAATGTACCCCTTCATGGGGAACACACACGGAAGTGTTACGCAATCTAGAGAGGAGGAAATAAGCTACTCTCACAAAGCACAAACATACACTAAATTGATACAGATGTTTTTTTTGTTTTCCCAATTATCTTTATCGAGACTCTTTTCAATTAACACAGGACGAACATACTGTTAGGGGTATGAGTATGACAACACAATGAACAATGTAGTTCAGTGTGTTCCATAATGCCTCTCATGTTACAACACGTCTAGGAAACTCCTGTAAGAGGGCACAGAAGGACTGGCACCTTTGACTTTCCTCAACATAAAAATCTTTTTCTGTCGTTATATCCCTCAAGATTGTCTTCCTAGATTACATTAGAATATTGAAAAGTTATAAAACTGAAATAAAACATAGGTTAGATGGCCGATAATATCTTGATATAATCATTTGTTTGTAGCAAAATAAAGCACTTTAGGTAGCCTTTTAACTTGCTGTTCTATTCTAATAATAATAATCTTTTCTTTGTTTTCAGTTCATGTGTTTCTGAAGCAGAGAAAGATAGTCCAGGTGTGTATAGGATTTGAAAAGGGTGTTGTATGTAATGTAGTGTAACTGATATATTTCCATATGTCTTGCAAACCAGCCATGTGTGCTAGCCTGGGGAGAACTGGTTATATCTGGATTGAGTGAGGTCAGAAATGTCCCGTTATGCTGCTACAGAGAGGTGCTTGGTTCAGGTTACGGGGCTGACGTTGGAAGCTCAAGTATATAATTCACGTGCTCTCTCAGGTCTTATTTAAAAAGGTACTGCACACTTCAATGGCTTTTCATGAGCTGTAAACTAAATCACATGACTAAACTGTGAGGAACACATCAATGCTGGTGTTACATTTGCTTTTAAATATAGAAAGGCCAATGCTGGGCGTTGTACATTTTATGACATGGATAAGTCCCATATCCATGTCATAACATTTACATTAAAACATTTTCTCTCTTTACATTTTATTCAAAATGATGCAGTGCTTGGAATATGGCTTGGACCTGGAGTTAAACTTACTGATGTCCTAATTAAATGTTAGTTTATTCATGAGAAATGGTAGTTCGTAAATCCATTTTCTCAGAATCACTCTCTCTATCAGTAATATTGATAAAAGTAGTACAATCATACATTTTTACTAGTGATATATTTATATGGCAGTAATAAATAAAAGTAGGATTGTAAAGTGTTCTAAAGAAAGAGAGAAAATACTTTATATTAATTTAAAATGTTAATATTGTCTTTCCGAACATGTTTTGGCTTAAACTATTATTATTATTATATAAAAATGTGATGAGACATTGAACCCTTTTTTCTCTCTCTCTCTCTTTTTTTTTTTTTTTTCCATGTCCCTTTAGGGGCTCCGTAGTACCCCAAGTGAGCTCAATATTTAAAGTATTTCATAATACAGGAATACATGGATGGATAAAAAGCTGACGGTGAAAACTTTTCAAGCAGCTAATGTTACTTTCTCTCACCTCAGGAGTGGATCATCGCGAAAAGAAATACCAAGCCCATCGTCAGTTTGGGGACAGGCGTGGAGGGGTCACTAGTGCTCGTACCTACTTCTATGCAGATGAATCCAAATGTGACAACCAAATGGAGACATTCATTAACTGCATTAAAGCCTCTGGTGAGTAGTAAAGTTCCTGAGGAAGCCATGCAGAACCATTTTGGTTGTTGGGTTATACTATACAACTTCTGTAAAAGGGACTGACTCTAACATCTGGTGACAATAAAATGTTTTTCAGGAGGAGCCTCAACAGATGGATTTTCTGCCATCAAAATGACCGCTCTTGGACGGCCACAGTTCCTTGTAAGTTGAACTTTTATGCCTTTAAATACTTTTCAAAAGGTAATTTAGATAAAGGTGTGATTGGCATTGAAATGCAACAGCAGTGCTGCCAGATCAATAACAAAGCACACAGATTTTATGACAGGGGAATTAAAACATTAGCCATTCATTTATCTCTTCATGGTTTTGAGTCAATGCCAATTGATTAGTATGATTATAGGTTCACACATATCATGAGGCAAGAGAGAAACAAGTCACACTGTCTTAACATTCTCAGATAAAAATGAACAGTATGTGTCTGTAAGAGACAGTGAGCATGAAGATTGTTTTTAAGTGAATAGAGTAGAGATGTGTCATACTAACTACATCTCAGGATGATTCAAATGCAGTGGTTTAGTGCATTTATATTTTATGAATTGTTCTGTGTTTGAACAGCTCCAGTTTTCCGAAGTCCTGGTTAAATGGAGGCAATTCTTTAAAGTCCTCTCAGCACAACAAGGAAAATCTGACATGAATGTTTTGGAACAAAAGCTGGAGCTGGATCAACTCAAGGTGGGTCTTACCTGTTGTGCTTGTGCCTTAGTGACTTTAAATTCCCGAGCATTTGTTAAAACAATACTTGGCTGAAATGTTTTTAATGATTGAAACATTTGCTTTATTTAATTTTTAATTTTACTATATTTTTTTTAAAGTTACTATAGTGTTCTTAAAATAGTTCTCTATCTGTGTTTTTTAATTCTTGTTTTACTTTTATGTATGAAACCACGACACAAAGTTTAATTCCTCGTACGTGTGAACCTACCTGGTAATAAAACAGTTTCTGATTCTGATTTGGTTTTTAGGAAAGTTTGATTAAAATGGGTGTTGGAGCTAAGGACGACATAGAGAACTGGTTAACTGGAGAGAAGCTGGGTTTGTCAGGGTAAGATAAACACTCAGTGCAAATACTTCAGATAAGCAAACACAAAAAAGGCCCTGGGCTTAAGTTCTTGAAACCCTGTTTAGTGAGTAATATTTTATTTTAACATTTTTCTCTTCTCTTTTTGCCAGAACTTTGGACCTTTTGGACTGGAACAGTTTGATAAACGATACAACAGCAATCTCCAATCTGCTTATGGTGCCAAACCTAGAGGTGAGTCATGTAAATATGAAGTGCTATGTCCAGTTTCTAAAAGGGAAAAGAGGAACATGCACTGTCTGAGGCAGTTTAGTAAGTGTTAAATGAGTCTGGTCATTTCTTATCTTATCTGTACACTGTCGCCTGTGTAATAAACACATAAGGCCTTCATATCACCTTCAAAAGGGCATGTTTCCAAAAGTGATAAACCATTTGATAGCAGACACATTCTTTCAAGGTACTTTCTGAAATACACCTTTCAGACTCCTACTTTTTACAGATACGTGTAATTACACATAATGGTCTCATGAACAGACAGTGGTGGACACGATAAGTTGGAAGTAAGTAGAATATTTTAGCTCCTCTATAAGAACTTGGAATTCTTTATCATATTGTGGAGTTCATGCAGTTCTTGTTTCCATAAGAAATGGACATTCTTCCCAGATTATAACTGTTGCTTGTGCAATATCCTATCTTCTTCCCGTAAGTACATTTTTTTTCTGATTAAGTAAAAAAAAAAAAAAGTATGACAGTGCGCTGTACATATCTGCAGAGTAAGTCAGTTGGAAAAGGACAACATGGCTGAGGCACTCCTGCTGACCTTCCTCTAACCCACCCAACCCCTGCCAACCTTCCTCTAACCCACCCAACCCCTGCCCTGCCTGTCACACACTGATAGAATTAGCAGGTTTATCCTGATCATAATGATCGCTTGAATAGCAAATTCAAAGATAATTCTGTGTTTTGTGTGTTTGTTCTGCAGACAGGCCATCTGGAACCTTTAATGAAAACCTTTACAGCTGAGGAGGAGAGGCAGATGAAGAGAATGCTGCAGAGAGTGGATGTTCTGGCAAAGGTAAAGATATCAAAACATATACATAATTATACATGGCAACACAAAAATCTAAACCTGGTTCAAGGAAATCAATTAAATTAGAACTGAATTGGGACTTTACTTGTCTTGCACATTAATGATGAGTTTCATGTTAATGGTAAATACTCTCTGTGCACCAGCATGCCATGGAGAACGGGGTCAGGCTGATGGTGGACGCCGAGCAGACGTACTTCCAACCCGCTATTAGTCGACTGGCGCTGGAAATGCAGAGGAAATTCAACAGAGAGAAGCCCATCATTTTTAACACTTACCAGTGTTACCTCAAGGTGAGACCCCTGTTTCTAACAACATCTAAGCATTACTATATTTTGTAATCATTTTTACAAAAAAAATTTTTTTCTCAACTGTGAAACCAAAATCATCTTTAGTGTCATTTCTGTTAGTACATTTTAACAAAAAGTTATATTGTTGCTACTTACCATACTATATTGGTAGGAAAGCTTCAAAATGTGTACATTTTATTTTTTAAACTTTTTTTTTATTGAATTTTTACATTTTATGGAATACAAACAGGAAAGAAAAAAACACAGACAGGCATAGCAAAATAATTAAAAAAATTGGGTCAGTGAGTCACTGTTTGTATAGTTAAAGAGAAGGAGTCAAGCAGGGGAGTGGTCACATTCCAGTCTGTTTCTGTTTCTTTTATGTATTGTTCCTGTGTACAGTTTTTAATATACACCTTTTCTATTTAAATATAGTTTTTGTGTCACTAGCCTTCTAAGGATGGCGGGATAGTCAAGTAATTATATGTTTTTAACACTTTCAGGACGCCTATGACAATGTAACAGTGGATGTTGAGCTTTCTCGACGGGAGGGCTGGTACTTTGGTGCCAAACTGGTCCGTGGAGCCTACATGTACCAAGAGAGAGACCGGGCCAAAGAGATCGGCTACGAAGACCCGATAAACCCCGACTATGAGGCCACCAACAGGATGTATCACAAGTGAGTTTTGAATTTCAGATTCAGCTAGAAAATGTCTAAAAGCCTAACCATCTGCCCTGTTGTTTATCCAGGTGTTTGGAGTACGTGCTGGAGGAGATTGATCACAGCAGGAAAGCAAATATCATGGTGGCAACTCACAATGAGGACACGGTGAAATACACCCTTGAAAAGTACGTTTTGCCTAAGACATGCATGAGAAAGTGAAAAAAAAACCTGGCATGTACTAAGTGTAGATTTAGTTTGATCACACACACAAACCTTAGGCCTTTCATTCATTAAAGATTAATCCAATTGGTTTAAACTAATACACAGGATGTTGAATTGAGCCAAAAATGTCTGTCAACTTTCCAAGACATTTATAGGATTTACAGAACGAGATTGCCAATCAATGGTGGAATACCACACTTAAGCTCTGTTTTTATAACAGCCTTTTCATTTGTATGCTTCTTCTTTTTGTTTTTCAGAATGAATGAGATGGGCCTATCTCCCGCCGAGAACAAGGTTTACTTTGGACAGCTGCTCGGCATGTGTGACCAGATTAGCTTCCCGCTAGGTACTATGTCGAACTCAGCTCAGTTACTAAAAGTAAACTGCAAGTTATGGAAATACAGAGGCTTACATCACATAATCTACTGCAACAAAGTCCCAACACACACACACACACACACACACACACACACACACACACACACACACACACACACACACACACACACACACACACACACACACACACACACACACACACACACACACACAGTAAACATAAGCTGTAATGAGCGAGAATTGAATAAAATGCAACGAACCTCTTTCTTCACATTGCGCAGCAGTTTCTGTCGGGTCTCGGCCTCTGTCACGGGAGAAAACATACCGAATAATGCTGATCAGATTGCTGTGTGGGAAATAGATGATGACAGGCTCACGACTAGAGAATAATAAAGACGGCTGTACCTCCCATCGCTCCGGGAAGGGTGCAACCGCTGACACGCACGGATTTCTATTTTGAAGGATGTCTTCTGGAAAGCAAAGGAGACCACACTGGTTGCAAGGCAGAGAGGCTCCGAGATGTGCGATGTGTTCTTAGCGAATAAATTAAACCTATCTGTTACCTCTCACAGAACCAACACCCCTTTAAAGTCACAGTAGCCCATTACAACGCCGACACATATGAGTACTCTCCATTCCCTGTGACACATATGGTGGATTTATTGTGCCAAACTTAAAATGTCAAAATATTTGAATATATTTTCAAATATAAAAATATATATTTCTCACACACACACACACACACACACACACACACACACACACACGTCAGCCTTCAACTGTTATTTCCAATGATCCATCCAATCTATACACCTTCTGTTTGGTTAAGAGACAATTGCTTCAGTCTATCTAAATGTGCAAGTGAGACGCAAAATACATATAACTGAGGTACTTCTCTACTCTAATTCAAACTCAAACTAATGTCAGCGAAGGGCTCTGGGCTTTCATTTAGAAAAAAAAATAACCCAACCTTTCTTCTGCTAGTGAGACAATATTGTCTCAGCATACATTTATTTCCAAATGAAAAAGATAATGTGTTAATCTACTGCAGCATTATTCCAGTTTACAGAGTTAACATTAATTCAGTTTTACAGCCTCCCACCCAAGTTACGTTGCAGCACCGTTAAATGTATGAACTTTTGTCAATGTGGATATAAACCAAGCCATAACATGGAATGCACACAGGGTGGATATATTGAACACAGATCTAAGACACGCCTCTTTTTTGAAAACAGGTCAAGCAGGTTTCCCGGTCTACAAGTACGTTCCATACGGCCCCGTCAACGAGGTCATCCCGTATCTGTCGCGCCGCGCTCAGGAGAACCGAGGCTTCATGAAGGGATCGCAGAGAGAGCGCAGCCTGCTGTGGACCGAGCTGAAACGCAGAGTGCTGGCTGGACAGATTGTATACAAACCTGTGTACTGAGTCACCTGACCACAACATACTACCTGCAGGATGTCTGTAAGCATTCCACCGGCTAACTGCGCTTCATAGAGGAAGAGTAATGTCTCTCCCTGGCTGGTTAGGTTGCACAGTACCGAGGAAAGTTTTGCAGTTTTACTGAGATTTAGTTTGCGATGGAGATTATTTTTGCATTTAGCAGTATATTTATAACAGACGTGTTAAAAAACAGTGCCATAATGAAACATTGATGTGATGCTCTATTTAGAAGTGATGATTTATTTGTGTCTATTTAACTAGGATAACTCTCTGAATCACCTCCAAAATGTATGTATGCTAACCAGAGCTAAGTTGTATATAGATATACACGTTTTTTTAAATGGTAACATTTTAATGTCAGTCAGCGACTATAACACTTCTCTGAGGGGATTGTAAATACTTAGCATCTTTTATTGATAATACTGTATCTCATTGTATAACTTAACAAAAATAAAGAAGGCCCAGGCTCCACGGGAACCAAACGCATAGGATTAACGCAAACGCAATCGACAAAAAGCTTCCGTCCACACGCAATATACACCGGATAGTGTCTTGCCACACGAGACGGCTCCGTTTAGATCCAACCGCTGGAAAAGCTGCAGTACATATGCCGAGCCTGTACGTGGCGCTGTAACTTCCTCCACAAAAGCAGCGAAGAAGAATTGTTGTCATGGCTGCACTTCTGTTTATTCTCCGCGGTGGGGCCGAGGGAACCGGGCAGAGTTTTTCGCCGGTCAACGTGTGTTAAAGTTGAAATCTTCCGGACAAAATTATAAAAGTGCCGGTCCGGGCAGGGTCCGTTTCTACCGTTCCGTTACGGCGTCGTGTAGCTTAAAGGGCTATACGCAAGAGAAATATGCGGATACAACCCGTTTTCGTTCCCGTGGAGCCTAGGCCTTTCTCTTATTGTAAACTGTTCACCTTTATCTGCTGTGGGTATCTGGAAATGAGCTAACTACCTATGACGTGAAAGTAGCTGTTTACTGTAGCTAACCTTCATTCACCTACAACAAAAGAAACATCTTTCACGGTCCGATCGTGACTCACTGTGATCCATTTTAGAGGATCAATAACACCTAGTGTGCTTTAATATTGGACATGGGTATGATGGTCATGATTTCATATGTGTCTGAAGTCAACAGCACCAACAAGATGTTCAAAGAAGAAAACTATAAATGTTTGTGCTCTTTGTTCCAAAAACAAGCCACAATAACAGCTGTCAGGCCCAAACTGTCAGAAATGTTGCATGATGTGCATTGGCGGGGAAACTGCCTGTAAGTATATTTGTTTTTGTTGTAATTCAAAAGTAATGGTTGTGTAAATATATCTGGTTAGTGGTTGATTGAATGTAATGGAAAATATATATTTTAAACTGCTGTTTTTATGACTATAAATTAATACTGTAAATTGTCCTTATAAAATTGAAAACTAAATCGAAGTTGACCCTTTTGTAAAAAAAAGGATTTTTGGACTTGCAAAAGCCCTTTGTCTTTAATAAAGTTGCTGTTTCCATGTGAATGATCAGTGTATTGTTTAGTGTTTAACCTTGTAACGCTGGCACATCTCAAGTGTTTGAGTAGACTTTTGGTTTTACTTGAAGGCATTTCCTGATGGTTTTTCTTTTTTATGTGTATATGTGTAATTAATAAGGCAAATTAAATGCAGTTACATTTAGTGTTTATGTTGCAACTGTAGATATTGGAGTTGGACATTTATGAAGAGGCTGATTTCTTAGTTGTTGGGGAAGGATCTTTAAAAACAGAAAAGTAACATATGATTTACGCAATCATTTAATATGGTCTGTTCCTGCTTAAAAGGTTTGCAACAGAAATGCTCGTAGACTCACCGTGCCAGAACTGATGTGACCTACTAAATGTTCAGCCCCTGCCAAAGTCAATAGCAGCTGAGGCAGTACCAGAGGCCAGGTATCTGGAGACTAAAGAAAGAAAAAACCACCACAACACACAGCTGTGATGAGAACGAGCAGGCCTGCTGGGTGTGCTCTATGTGCAGATAGATGTTATACACAGATACTAGTTTCACTGTTATGAAAACGTAACCGTGGCCTAAAATGAACTAAACAGACTATAAAGCAGGGGTTCCCAACTCAGGGCCGACTTAAGAATCAAAAAAATGTTCCCGGCCCACATTTAACCATAAACAATAGGGAGGCTAAATAAAGTTCTGATTGGTCAATTCAGAACATGTGACACGTTGTTAATCCAGTAGTACAGACTGCTGTCGAGGACTGTAATGACCGTTGCTAAGGAGGATCAAGAAAGAGAAAGGAAAGGAGGTTCAAATAAAAATATATCTTAATAATGAAATGTTTCCATACAAATCATAATGTTTTGCACATTTTTTGGCGGCCCACTTGCAATGCGTTTGGGCCGCGGCCCACAGGTTGGGAACCGCTGCTCTGTTTCTGTGCCTCAACTTTGTACATTATACATTTGTATTATTTAAAACAAAGCATTGATGTATTGGCATTGATGCATGCTCTGTACACATAGCCAGGTGTTTTGGCCTCAAGGTACTAAGATACTTGACTTTAAAGGAATTATTTTCCTGCCAACCTCCACTTCAACCCCATTGCGCATACCTCAAAAGGTACAGGACATAGTGATGTCGAAGTGTGTAGACTATTTTACAAACCAGTCCTGCCCCTGTGGGAGGAGAAATCTCATCTGACTCCTTCAGTCCTCACAGCCAATAAGATAAGACTTCACAGAGTAGTTTCTTTCACCTTGCAGAAAATACTCACATCGACACTTCCAACATTGTCATCTGCAGGTAAAAAAAATCTCTTTACTTTTTCTTATTCCATATGCTATATCCTTCTTGGATTTACAGTGTTGTTAATATCCTAGCTTATTTGGTTATCAAAATAAGTTAATATTGGTTTTAAGGATAATGGATCTACAGAGTTGTTATCTCAAGGAAGGACATATTGCATTTTTGTAAGCTTTAAACAAGTTAATTCCCTAATTAATTAGAACAACTCTATGTCTATGGGACATGCACATGTAGGATATCTTCAACGAAGGGGGAAGTGAAAAATGAACATCAATGTTAGAGATAAGAATCAGAGCTGTTATGGCAAGGGGCATACTGTACCGTTCCTATCTGATATAAGTAAGCACCTGTTCAGTGTGAATTGTAGAAACGTTAGAATTGTCCCCTTTTCTTCCATATTAACATCAGTTTTTACTGTTATAAAATGCTTGTACCTTAACTGTAGTTTTCATGTTGGTGTGTCTTTTGTCTTTCCATCTGTGTTGCTAAGGGAATTTTAGCACTGTAAACATGTTTATAGTATAAACATGTGGGCTATTCTGAGAGAAAGAATGATGCAGCAGTTTTTTGCTAATCAGCATGATCTCTTGTCTATGTTCATTTTGCCTTTTCATTATAAAGTTCTTCTTATTTCTGTTAGAAATGAATAGTAGGTTATATCAAATTGAAATGGATTAGGCCTGGACTCTCTATAATTGCATTATCATTACTTTGCTGTGACCTAAGGGCATTATTAGTTGGCCTGTGTGTAAGAATTTCCCCAGGGTATTACGAGTGTTTATGAGCTTTGTGTAGCTTTGTTGTATGAGAAAAACACTTCACAGCATAGTGCAGCATGGGTTTGTGTATAGAAACTTTGAATCCTGTTATTATTGTCCTTTATACATGCATGCTCTTTCATTTTATTTCCAGGTCCTTGTTTGGGTGTTAGTGATGTCTGCCATCAAAGGAAAGAAGTGCACACGTATGACCAGGAGGCTGATTCTCTGGGTTTTATTGACCAACATCATGTTGTTGCTGTACTGCCTCACGAACCCAACCCAAGTTAAGATTAGGTAAGGATTTTAAAGTAAAGCCTTTCTTTATATTGTGAAGTCAGTTCATCTGTTTGTTTACCCGTATACTTTACTCACAGGGACTCCCAGCAGCAAGACACATGTCCTCTAAGTATGGTGAAATTATTGACGAAAAATGTAAGCTCACCATCTCTCAGCACGTCAGAAGTTTGCATCCCCAAAGTAAACATCATGTTCATGAAAACCCACAAAACTGCCAGCAGCACCATACTCAACATCCTCTTCAGATTTGGAGAAAAGCACAAGCTTAAATTCGCCTTCCCTGATGGCCGCAATGACTTCTTCTACCCGTCACCTTTCCTCTGCTCCCAGGTGAAGGACTACAGGCCTGGAGACTGTTTCAACATTGTTTGTAACCACATGCGCTTTGACCATCAGGAAGTAGCCAAGCTCCTGCCTCCAGATGCTGTTTACATCACCATCTTACGTGACCCAGTGGATCTCTTTGAATCATCTTTCAATTATTACCGCAGAGCAGTTCCTCTCACATGGAGGATCAATGGAGAGAACCAACTGGTGGAGTTTTTGAACAATCCTCATACCTTCTACAGCCCAGAGGCTTTCAACTCATTCTACCTCAAAAATCTGCTCTTTTTTGACTTTGGTTTTGACAACATCCTGGAGGGTGATGATCCTCGTGTGATGAGGGATATTCATAAGTTATCAACACGTTTTGATTTGGTTCTTGTAGCAGAATATTTTGATGAGTCACTTATCCTGCTCAAGGACACACTGTGTTGGACCATGGAGGACATACTGTATTTTAAACTCAATGCTCGCAGGAGATCATCTGTATCTCGACTGACCCCAGAGTTGAGAGCCAAAGCTTTACAGTGGAACGGGGCTGACTGGAGACTCTATCAGCACTTTAATGCTACTTTCTGGGCAAGAGTTGAGGCGTATGGGGGAGAAAGAATGAAACAAGAGGTAAAAGAGCTCAGGAGAAGAAATGCAGAGATGAAGGCCATTTGTATTCAAGATGGAGGTGCAGTGGAAGCTCAAAATATTCACGACAGTCGTTTCCTGCCCTGGCAGCCCGTTGGAGAGTCTTCCATTCTTGGGTACAACGTGAAGCAAAATATTGATCCACAATTCAGGGAAATCTGTGAAAAAATGCTCACACCTGAAATACAATACTTGTCACAGCTGGGCGTAAGCCTGTGGCTGACTAGACTATGGGGTTGGTTCAAAGATACCGTTTTTGGAGATTGAATTGGACTTAAATGTTTTACGTGTTTACTTTAGCAGCAAGCTGGAGTCCACTTTGTTATTGTACCTGCCTTTGAAATAACATGATACTTGAGATGTATGTATCAGCACTAATGTGCAAAGCTTATTTGCTTTTATAATATGTCCACTGCAAGGGCAAATTATTACGTTTTTGTTTAGCTCACAGGAAAAATACCAGGATGGGACATAATACAGTCAGTGCTAACTATAATGTTGTTTTAAATGTGTTCTTCTCATTCATTGGGACAGACATTGCTAGTGTGCCCCCTATAGGCCTGAGTCTCAGGTGCAGTTACATGCAATTGATTTGAACAGTAGTGGCCTTACCTGACCCTGACCTGTTTACAAGATGTCTTCACTATTGACAGGCATTGTTTGACATTGCAAATTAAAAGGTGGCAGCTACCGTTTCTATATAATACTTGTTCTTGTTTGGGCCAAAATTAGCATCCAGCTTTAATATGTTCCTTGTATGGAAATGGTCCATACAAATGTTACCTCTCATTCATGTTTTTTTTGTATAGCCTGTTTTAATAAAATACAATTTAACTGCATATCTCAGCCCCATTCAAGCGTTATGTTTATTCTTTGGTATAAACACTACTGGGTGAGGAACTAAGGAACTACAGCTTATTGGAAACTAGGATTGGTTAACAACATATAGCTGTCATTTCATTATAGTACAGACTTCTGTACTTCTCATTTTTAGTTCCCTTTATGTTAAAAACCAGAGAACCAAGCTGTATAACCGTATCTTTGAAATGACACACTAAACATACATAAAACTGCTGACATGAAGGGGACACAATGTATACAACCACTGAATACTTTTATAATAAAGACTAGACTCAACTATATAATTCTATAAATCCTTCTCAGTCATTTTATCAAGATACTCATTTTATTTGAAGCTGATCCCTTTTAGATGACCTAATGTGGCTAGAGAGGGTGCTTATGAAAATGCTAGTAAGTCAAACAAAAGTACTTTGACAGTGTAACTAATCTAAGATGCTTTGACATATGCAAGCCATATGATCAATCAAAACATTGCAAGGTGTGTACGTCATTAACATGTTTAATTTAAGCATTTACAATCTGTGGGGGGAACGTAGACATTACATCTAACAACAGGAGGGAGGGGACGAGGTGACAGGAACCGTTGCTCCATCTTCAAGGTGGACTGGACAGTCAAGCGGCTCTCACAGGTCCCACCTGGCATGACTTTTGAGCACATTGTCCATGTTGACTGATGATTGATTCAGGTGTGGAGTCCAGGAAGAATGGATAATGGAAGTGTGACAACAGTTGCACTTCAGCCTTAGGTAACCCGACCTATTCCTCCTTGATCTCGTATTTGTGTTGGATGTGTTCCCAAAGTTTCTAAAAAGAAGTACATATAATGCAACGTTAGACATGTCATGTGAACAGAGACAGATACTTTATTCATCCCAAGTTGTGAAATTGTTTTGTCACAGAAGCATTTTGACTGTCAATGTACAAGAATAACAACAATTGTTAAAAGTCGAATAAAAAAAAAAAAAATATATATACATATTCTCATTAGAAAATACATATTAAGAAGAGTTTCTACACACTATTAAATATACAGAATACATTAGAATACTCTCTAACATACCAATCTACTGAAGGGACAGAAACGTATAAAGATAGTGCAGTCAGTGGAGGCAGAGCCTCACCTGTCATACTCCAATGTAACGGAAAAACAATTAAAGAAAAACTAAATAATAATAATAATAAAATGTCTCCACTGATCTTGTGTAAATGTGATTTATGTATGATTCCAATCGCATTTTATAGTCAAAATCAGCAAATTTGCCGAGCTCCGCTATGGGAGCGATGAGAAGTGAGGCAGGCACGAGCACTGCCTCACGTAAGCCCACAGTAACTTGCTGGAGCACGGGCACTAATTTAGCGCGGCCACTTATTTTGTGAGCGCGCTCAAGCCATTTACTGTGGGGTGAGGTGAGGCGAGGCACAGATGAGCTCTGCCTCAATTCAGAATGCGTCACCCCACAGAAACTGGCTGGAAAGCGGGCCCTAAGCGCATGCCTGTTCCCATCTCACTGTAGGTCACCAATGTAATGTTTGTAGATCCCTTTATTACATTTATCCTCGCCATCCATAGTCTCTAAAATAACTTATTTCACGTATATATGATATTTAGGCTCGCTGGTCTCATCGTACAACGGCAATGAAAAAATCACCAGGAGAGGCAGCCATAACCTCTGCCGCACTGAAGGGGGCGCACGTGAGCCCACAGGTTCTTGTTGCTACTGTTATTCTACCGCAAACAACAAACTAGACTTTTGAAACTACAGGAAGATAAGGAGGACTTTTACAAAACAGTAATAGAGATTGTTGTCCAGAAGGATAGCATGGATTTATATTCATCTTCAAGTCAAGGTAAGACCACAACTGTAATGAAAATGGGATCTTACTTAGAAAGAACAATCCAATATTTAGATTTTGGGTATCCTTTTGTTGATCGGTCTGTTTAAAATTAATCATAGCATCAGACTAAAAAAGCTTTTGAAAATAACAGAATATTTCGATTAAGGTCAAAATAGGCTATAATATTTGTAAATCTGACTCTGAAAGAGTCAGTGCCTCACCAGCCATGAACCTCACCGCACGTCACTGTAGTGTACTATATACATTAAAAAAGTGCACACAATGTAAAATATATCCTGGTAGTTAGGGTAAGTAGGTTACAATATTTATGAGGTTGTAATGGTTTGTAAAAAAGGAAGCAAATGCTCGGTTTAGCAGGGAGGCTAGGTTAGTTTAGCTAACACTAGCGCCGTTTCGCCCTCTGCTTGCAAGGTCAGGATAACATCGGCATTATAACACAAAAGGAAACACTTACCCCGCGATTCAGTTCCTCGAAAATTGCGTCACCACCTTGGTCAAACAGTCGTTCAAAGAAGACCGCTCCAACCATGATGGTCACGGCGAAAGTGGACGTTCTCCTGAAGAGCAGATTGTAGACGGACTTAGCCAGCGACATGTCTTCGGTGGATTGACGGAAGCTGAGGTGACACGCTTCCGGTCCAAGAGTGGGTCGATTCGCTTTTTGACCCTGCGAAGACACCGTATCATTGGGGAATGGTTAGCAAACGATTAGCATAGCATTACTGTAAGATTTCATTGTTGTTCACGTCAGTTTGCTACACAATGTGGATTCAAAGCAAACAGCACGGAGGATGACATCATGGTTCGCCAATGGTTTGTTGTATTTGGCTTTTAAATGTAATATACACAGGGTTTAACGTTTACAGATGTCACAATAAGCATGTAACGTTAAAATAACTATTCTGATTGAACAATGCTATGAGCCAATGATTATGGATGTTAGCGTTTGCTTATTGGGGGAGAGTTTACATGAGCATCAAACTGCACGTTTACATTTCAGAATATTTCACCTTTAATATGTTCATATTTGTATCATCACAGTGGAATAGGAAGTCATACCAGATACTATTAAAAATAAAGGCACTTCCATGACCAAACCAGCAGATGGCAGTAAACGTTAGATAATGTTCCTGGTGCTCTTGATTGTAGGCTAGATCAGGTTGTTTCCTGTGTTTGCCACCCATTTAATCGTTTTAAGCCTTGTGCCATATTTTTTAATGAAAATTATAGCATTATAACAGTATGTGATCCGAAAGTAAACAACCATATGACATCCGAATTACTATATGTAGATGTTAACAAACTTGCATTGATGCGAAATTCTGAAATGCAAAAAAATAATAATTCTGTGACAAATATGAATTGTAAATTGGGTCGGCTATGTAATTTTAACTGTATCAGGATGGCATTTTTATTTTTGGGGGGGCTTTTCAGTCCTGAAGAGATTAGTTGAGTAATGGATTAACAACATAATAGTTAATTGTACACGTGCAGTTGAACTTTAACGCCCTTTATTCTGGACAGACCACATGTTTTGTTAATGGATCAGTTTGTGCACAATCACAGTCAATTAATGTACGATACAGAAACATTTAATTCAGCACAGCTATTCTCACCATGTTGTGACCCAGCAGTTATGTGAATGTGTTTTGTTTCTCTTTACTGTCCATAGCCATTTAAAAGGTGACATCTTGCTGGTTTGAGCACATAACCTGCACCATGGGAAGGAGATACTACTGTGACTACTGTGACCGGTCCTTTCAGGACAACATGCACAACAGGAAGAAACATTTGTTTGGTGTTCAGCATCACAGAGCTAAAAAGGCCTGGTACGACTATTTCAGAGGTGAGACTTGCAGTTTGTCCTTAGACCTGAGAGAGATGTGATTGTAAATGTTTGTTTTAGACTATACAGTGATCCTAAACATTACAAATTGCTATTTAGAATGATATGCCTTCAACCTATTTGAGATTTTGATTGGAGAATTAAGCTTGCTTACATTTCATTATCTCATATTGGCTGGCCATCTGCTTATATTATGATGGAAGGTTATATATACAGCCATTGGCAACACTATAATTTGTGTTTTTACAGACTCCTCAGCTATTCTGTGTGATGAGCAATTAAAGAAACCCTGCAGGAAGTTTCTCCAAAAAGGTAACTTAAAGCAATTCAACCATACATTTATCCAATGACCAGGAAATGATATTAAATGCATGTTTTGTTATTGTAATAATAATTATTTTCCCTGTCCTTTTTCAGGAATATGTGATTTCGGCCCTAACTGCAGGTTTTCTCACATGTCTGAAGAAGATATGTTTCACCTACAAAGACAGGTGGAAGGTAAGCTGTAACCAAATGGAAATGATGTTTACCATGTGATTAAGATATGTTTTTTAAATGAAATCAACACAGTTCCTCACAAACAATGTGCTACACATTTAATACACATGGCATTGGCAATTATATATAATATTATCTAAATAATTCTTTAATTAGTAGGTGGTCATTCAATATTTAACAACCATGTTACCAATGGCCAACACATTGCATATTTTTAATATCTTAAATGTAATCCTGCATAAGGAAGGTTTAAACCCTCTTCAACAAAAGGTACCTAGGGTTAGCATTTTCTGATGCATTCCCTAAAAAATAATAATATTATACACTAAATTGTCAAGCACATTTGGTCCAGCTGACTTGTCGTGATCGACTGACAGTATGGCTGCAAGAAATGATTATTATCATCATCAATAATCTTTATAAATAGTGAAAAATGTGTTTTTCTCAAGTCCAAAGTAATGTTTTGGACTTTGTCAGTCCAAAACTAAAATGTATTCAGTATAATATTATGTTAAACTGAGGAAAAGCAAGGATTCTCCAATTTAAGAGGATGCAAATAGTATTCTTTGCGATTTTTGCATGAATGACACTTGATTATTAAAATATGTGGCAGGTTCTAGTTGACAGGAGTACGATTGAATTCTTTCAGATGAAAGACGTCTCAGAGAGGATGCTGTAGACAGCAGGATGCCGGGGCGCTGTGTAGAGGACTGGCTCTCCAGAAGGGAGAAGAGGCGAAGTGCCCTCGGTAACCAGGGGTATGCAACTTCACCTTTTGGCGCTTATTCATACATTGCTAATGATTCGTCTTAATTTAAAATTCAACTTTTTAATTATTTATCTCTTCAGAGATCTAAAAGATAAGGACGACAGTGAAGAGGTCCAAGAAGAAAGTGACATACCTCCACAGCTCCTCTCCGTCCATGACCTCCCGCCCTCTCTTCTTCCTCCTCCTCCCAGCGGGTGGAAAGGCAAAGTGAACTCAGAATGGGGCTGACTGATATTCACTTTGTGGTTCACATCACTGTTAAGCTGGTATGCAACATTGGTAGAATTAAATGTACAGAATACATATGAGATGTCTTTTTTAGTTTTAAATTAGATATTTAATTGATTCATACATAGGAAGGTAAACCTGGAATGACATACAGGAGGTGCATAATGAATCTCATGATTGACATTTTGGCAGTCTGTTGTTGATTGCTTCGCTAATGTGAAGTCGAGTGCCTTTACCATGAGACTCCCCTAAGGAGTTACATTTGATGTCATGAAGAATGGAGCATTGCTGAGCAGATGGAAATTATTTTTTTGTTAAATTCTAATCCTCTGCTACGTCACCGGGGGAATCAATGATCTGTCTGATTTTAATTTATAACCCAGCCAGCACCAAAACACCACTCTACTTCCTAAATAGTAAAGATGGCAACCTAATGATCTCGATTAATTTGTATGCTAAAAGCTTTCATAGTTATCATAAAGCATTTCAAATGTTATGATAAATGTAATTGTCTTTGGCCTTTATAAAGTCCCTTTAATGTATTTCTCATAATGGGTTTTGCTGAATTTCATTGCGTTAAGTTTATTTCGGTTTTGTATTATTTGATTTAACTATTAATCTGCTGTCTTGGCCAGAATATATCTCTGACTTTAAAGGGGCCCTGTTTTGTTTTATCATATACACATGAGAACAGATGCACAACCAAGAGAGTGAAGAAGAAAGCAAACATGAATGTAAACTGTGAGTTATTTTTTGTATCAACATTTAGAAATTGTTTTTGCGAATCTTTAATGAGGACAAAATCACACAAAAAGTTTGATGGATATCACAAGTACGCAGTGCATGTTGGTGAGAGAGACACAGATTTAGGTATAACATATTTTTGGATAATACTCTAAAAGATGCATTTCAATATGGGTTTAGGCTATAAAAGAGAAGTTGAATAACTCATATTTAGTCATTTAAGTTGTCAACTTGTGGATTTATTTAAAAGTGGATCCTGGAAAGCACCCACGTATTCTCTGTACTTGATGTTAGTATCAATTATGTTGTTCTGTTGTTCACAGTAAATGTTGTTTTTTTAAATTGGTCTTATGTTCCTTTTATTTGCAACAAAGGTCACATTTGTACACAGAAAAAAAACAGCAAACCCCTTTAAGTGCCTTTGATTTTTATTTGATACATGCATACAAACAACACTTACAGTAGTGTATATTTGATGCAGTAACCTCTACATGGGAGGTTACAGAAATAAAACAGCGCTTGGTATTCTCAATCTAAACATTAAATTACTAGTAATGTCAACAGCAGGATGATACAATCATTTACCAGAAGTGAGAGAGATCTTTACCAAGAACATGGAAGAGAGAAAGATAATACATCAATACTTATTGGTAATTGAATTACTAATGAGTCATTTCAGTTCGAAAATACATCAGATTCATTTTTGTCTTAAGCAATGATTTAGTAAAATGGACTTACATTTCTTCTTAGAAGTTTTCTAAAGTTACTCTAAAGTCAAGGCATGAGAGCGCAGATCTTACTTCAAAAGACAAAGGCACAAACAGAACACTACAGTCTGAATCAAAGTCATAACAATAAAGACAATCCTTGAACAGAGTGCACATAAATCTGCTAATTAAAGCACTGTAACATACAGAATAGGACACAATAATTGCTTATATCTCTTAAGACAATATTTGACACAATAACTATATTTTACATTCACACAAAATCCATACCTTACATGATGTTCACATAAAGAGGTAATGTGATGTCATATTAGAAGTTCATACATAAACAGCTACTGTATTTGAGATAAAATATCTGTTTTATTGCCAGAATGATACTCGCTGTTTCGTACGTTTCCTCTCATGATATAGCTTTAAGATAAAAAGAGCAAGAAAAAATATATAGCAATTTGTAAAACGTATTGAATTCGACAAAAATTTGATAAAACATTTTGAAAAATGAATATTACCAAATAAGAAATGTTAATGTTAGTGTGTGACACACAATTACTTGCATCTGAATGTCCAGTCAACCTGGAAATTATATCAGAAACCTGAAATATATTTTTTCGTATTGTTTGTTTTATAAAAAACATTATGCTTACATTCAATAAAATCACATAGATTTAATGTATCACTTTTCCAAGTAAGAAAATATAACCATGTTATACTTTAAACATGTTGTTTTGGTGGTCCATGTAAAAACCAGAAAACAACATTTTTTATGATATGTTAAATTATTTTTCACAGCATACTCCAAAGTATTTAGTATTTTTGATATGGTCTGCACGTCCACATAAATCGACATTTACAGGAAAATGTCAAATACTGAGATTTTTGCAATGATTACTATACAAATTGCATAATTATTTCAATACATACACCAGGGTTCAACATTTGATCTCAAACACATTGAACACAGAATATACTTTTAATGTACATGCAAGTGTTGTGAACGGATTATCCTTTATCGTCATGTGTCATTCTGTCTAAACATTTGACTTGTAATGGTTAACGCTATTTACAGCTGCTAGCTCAGATAATCACTTGTCTTTCCTGTGACTCATTATGTCTCTTTTTGGATGCTATTGCACAGATTTGAAATATGCAGCTTTGTGCATGTATCACTGGCAGATTTTGAGGATGAAACACTTCAGTTTGATTCTTAAATCTACTACATTACATTTTTTGTGAAACAGCTGTTTCATTTTCATCTCAATTCTCAGCCAATACATCTCACTGAGCTCAGCTCTCAGCTTCAAATCAAACCAGTAAATGTTTTAGTCTGCTGTGATTTATTTAGAAAGGGCTTTTGGGCTCAGCTGAATGGAGGGTTACCGGCTGTGTCCACATGTCTTTCAAACCCTCTCTTTTCCAGATAACAGTGCTGTTCACCAGTTATTCCAAATGTAGGGCTTCTCAATGTCACAATAGAAACTTTGGAGGAACATACTATTTTCCTGACTTGAATATCATGGGCCAATACTGCCAATACTAACATGCTGATGTTATAGTAGCACTAAGCACAAAGTACAGCTGAGCTTGATTTGAACATTACCATATGAGATGTCAGTGAATCACCACAATTCATCCTGAGACACACTCAGAGCATCATCACAGTCATGGGGGTGCATCCTTTGGGAACCATAGATGTCTCTACTACATCTTTTGATAAATCATCCTGTAGATGTTGAGATTTTTCAAAAGAAAACTTCGATCTGCTGGTGGTTTTACGGAGAAAATCAGGGGATTACTTAAGTCAGTTGCATTGTTTCCCTGGGAGCAATGAGTGTCTGTTCAGAATGACATCCATACAGTTTAGACCAAAGTGATGAACTATCGACTGCCATCCCAAGAGCCATGAAGCTAGCATGGTTAAACAGTTGTAGAAATAATTGTAATATTTTTACACATTTGTGTTTTGAATTAATGTGGCTTCTCCTTTGTTAAGATTTAGGTCACAGATGGTTCGTAACGATGTGTTACTCTTGACATGAGTTGGACCTCTGGACTGGAAATACTGGCACTAATACAGAGACTTAAAAGAAAAACAATTACGCTGAGAGTGAATTAAAGCTACTTAATATGCAGCGCATCAACACGTGCGTATTGCTTTATTACTATCCTCAGTAATTTTCATTATTGGGTGCATTCCAAACGGCAGACTTCTCATCAACAACATTAATTGTTTGATAAACACAGACACAGCACATCTATTACTAAGCACATACTTCTAAAGTCTGCTTTCCAATATAATGTCTTCAGAAATCTGATTCACAACCTACTGTTTTAGGATACTAATCAGCCCTTGAAATGCCTTTCTTTTTTTTAACCAGGTTATGCTACAATTTGTGGCAATATAAAACCACTGAATGACATCATTGCACCTATTACAGAGAGAAGCTGTGTGTTGAAAACATTCAACAAAACCATACAAGTGTTTTGATTTAATGTTTGATTTCTCATTGTCCGTTCTTAAGTATCTCTGTATCCAGCTGGAGTCGTATTTACTTCATTCCTCTGCGGAGCATTTGATTTGCTGCAATGAGCATGACGCTGATGATGAATGCAATGGCGAAGGCACAAATCAGGCTTTTACGCACACATGTGTGTTTTTCCTGTTGTGTTGGGCTTGCTGGGGAAAGATTTAAAAGTCAAAACATTAGCTTGTCTGAGAGTCTCAACAGAATACAACAAATGTAGGTAATAAAATGTGCAACTTACTGTCTATGTCCACGTGGGACTCTGGGCTGTTCAGGTGGCTCTCCTCTGTCATGATGATGTTCTCAATGTCTTTCATGGTGAGGTGGTCGCGGAAAGTATCGTAAAGCAGCCTCTTCAGCTCATCCACCGTCAGTTTCTGCATGTCACACTGGGGACACATAAAACACCAAGAAAGGTCTAATTAGCAGCGGAAGAGCTTCTGTCTCAGAACACCTCAGTGACGCAAATCAGCTGTGGGACATCAATTAATAGTGGCATATAAGGTAGCGCATGGTGAACTGATTCATTGGATTATGCAACTAAACGCAAGGATATGAAGACACTGCAAGTGTAGTAATGTCATTAGATCAATACAGTATGTCAAGGCTGTGTGGAAATGTGCTTTTGAGTGAGTCAGAGGAGCATAATTCGTAATGTAAGAATAATGTTGTTTAAATGATTAGATTTTACATCAGTAACTTCTGTATTGTAATTAGAATTGCAACAGATGGCTTTGTATCAGAAAAACCAGAAGGGAACTAACTCAAACGAGGACGGAGAACAGACAAATGTACACTTATAAAGCACTGATAATGATGACAATGTTTACCTTCCAAAACACTGAATCAAAGTCTGCTCCGTGGAACTTATCCGGCATGCCAGCAGCAGAGAGTTTAGGACCAAGCAATGTGACAAATTCATCAAAGCCAACTTGACCGTCACCTAAAGGAAATACAAAGATGTCACTGTATAGTATATGTGTTGGGTTATATGCAACTGGCTTTCGATGAGAGAAAGAGAGATACACATACCATCTATATCGAGTCTTTGGATGATAATCTCCAGCTCCACCTCATTGGGCATGTAGCCCAGCGAGCGCATGGCCATCCCCAACTCCTGCTTTGAGATGAAACCATTCCCATCTCGGTCGAATACTTTGAACGCCTCACGGATCTCTGTTGGGAGAAAAAGGGCAGAAATAATGTTACGTTATGTTGAGAGGAAGGAGACATTGCTTACGATTTCACTATGTGAGCAACAGTGGGTTGACTCAGCTAAACATGTTGATTTGAATTATGGGTTCACGTTTGTTTTAAGAATTTAGAGAGTCTTAAAGCTGTTTATAATTATGTTTATGATGAATTGGAAATGGGGGACCCTGATGTAAACAAGACGAAAGTCTTTCTCTGGTCTGCATCCCCTTAACAATTGTATGTTTTGAGCTGTACTGTACTGTACCCAATATACAAGCTGTTAATACACTTTTCAATCAATCAATCAATGTATGGAATAAAGAATTCAAGGCAATTTAACTCAGAGTCACAGCTCATAAAGAATAATCCCTCTTAATTTGATATGTGTATGCTTTCGGAAAAGGGAGCAGTACTAATAAAATGTCTTGTTACAAAAAGTATAGTAAGAGGCATGAAAAAGATAAGAAACAATATTTTATGAATTCCTATTTAAATGCTAAGAGCAGCAGTGATGTGAGCAAGCTTACACGTTTTATCTGTGAATCAAAATGTACTATAGTTAATCCCCTGTGTTTTAGACCTCAATTGTTTGTTTTTTACTATTTAAAACAAATCAATTATATGTTCCTTTGTGGTTTATTTAGAACATGTCCTTATAAGCACTCCTGCTGCCTGAAGTGCACGCCCCAGCACCAAATCCAAAATTGAAACTAGAAAATAATCCTTAAAAATGCATCTACTACTGTTTAAGTAACCGTTGCCACTTTTATTGATACTGGGTTTTAGTAGGGACAAATGGACTTGGAACTGAGCGTTATAAGCACTACACATTGAACAAATGTCTATAATAATTATTGTACACAGCTATACGGACATTTTAAAGTGTTTATCAGGGTTGTTGTTAGCAATTACAGCTTCAACTAGATGGCTTCAGAATGACGGACAGACAGAGAGAGCATTTGTTTGTTTCATGAATATAGAGACACAGTGACTGTCATTTCATGTTTCAGCGCCACGGAGAGAGAGAGAGTAGTTCAATATTTCAGCACCGTGGATAGAAATCCATTTCCTGTTCGAAAGAGACTGGCGGCATATTTAGCTGCACAGCTTCACAATGTGACTGTGTTTCACAAACTGAGGGACATATTAATAAAACATCACTTAATGTGACAAGAAATTATCTTGACATAGATTTGTTTAATTATTTACACACTATTCATATAGATATATAAATATATAAGTACACAGTGCCAAGTGCAGCTCAGCAACAGTGGAGTAGCCTTTTCATGCAATAAAATAGATAAATAAGATGACTAAAGTATCCAACCATTATAATATTCTGTTACCTGGCCTGTTATATAATCAAATGCTGTTTTTTGTATTGATACAATGTTGTGCAAATCCCTTGTTTGATATGTTAACACCTTCAGGCACCTTCACAGCCACATTACCATAACCACAGACAGAAGGCAGTGAGCAGGTTCATGTGTTTATAATGAAATAAATAATCCATAAACATTGCCATTTGGCACCTTTCCTCACCCTGCATCACAGTATTCTGTTTGAAGTGGTAAAAAGAGCGGTCTCACATCAAAGGCAGAGCACCTCTGCAGCTCTTTTTGATGTAGATCCTCGAATATACAAGAACCTTCAATGCTTGCTCAGTAGTCACGTGTTATTATTAGATGAAACAAGACAAGCAATTAGGAGAACTGTACGAGTAGGATATTCAATGTATACCAACATATACATGATACAACATATGCACAATGCTAGCCTGATATACTAGAAGCAGGAAAGGTTGAGAAGAACAAATACCTGAATGTTGTATCAACATTATCGACAGTCCTGCCTCTTGGCGCTGTAGCATAGCTCAGTCATTTTATGCCAACGCCAACACAAGCTAAAACATCTCTTTATTTAGTCGACATTCATTTGGATATTACTCCTGCACCAATAGCTTCATAGGATCTTAATTCGAACTTTATATGTCTTAAGATTTAGAAGGGATTGTCCTTTAATCACAAGGTTGGCAGTTCGATCCCCCATCCTTCGTGTTTTTGAGAGAGACAATGAAGTGGCTCCTGATTGGCAGGCATTGCCTCCCATGGCTCCATTGGTGTATGCATGTGTGTGTCAATGTGTTAATGACAGTAAAGTGATTTGTCTGGGAAGGTAGAAAGGTGGTATGTACTGTAAATGCACTCTGTTTGCTATTTTCCATTTTTATCACGGAAAGAAAGGTAATTTGCAAGCAAGTATGTGATAGCACCACCTGTCATTTGCATTCAAACCCACAAGTAGACAGGCAATGACCATCCATCTTGTTCACATGAATGACAGAGATTAGTTTACTAGTCATAGTCCACAGTGGCAGACTCTAGCCCTGTGGGAACATAGAAGAAAGTGTTGCAAGAGGCCATTCAGGTCCTACTTAACAAGTGACACTGTGTGTACCCACCGTGACATACCAGACAGAGCCTATTCTTCTAAATTACAGCCAGGAGTGCTGCTTAACTTTTGTTATCTTCCTTCAGCATCACCCTAGATTCAATGTCACGACCCCTGGTGCCGGTAACCAATAATAACAATGTGCCAGCTGAGCATTGGCTGTTGTTTTCACAGCCTTAGGTGTAAATATAAATATAAAAGACATGGATGCAACCACCTGGGAACCAACTTTCTCTTTTCTGAAAAAGTACACTTCATTATAATCCCATATTTATTCATCTTCTGTTTTTTAAAGATATAATTACAATAATTGACCCTCCTGAAAGTACATGAACAAAGATGTTCTCTCTATATCACCAACCCTTCCCTATCACAATTGCTTTTTTACATAATTTACCCCAAAACTTAGTTCTGCTAACACTTGGTATTCATAGAGATGGACTTGTTTGTTTCAAGAAGTTACAGAGGTAAATGTTGACATCTTTATTTCCTATGGGCCCATATTAAAGGTCATTTAAAATGCAATGCAGGAGGCTGACATGCCATTTGAACACCATATGGTGCGTTAAAGTACACAGCCTTCAAAATATGTCTCTGTTACAGTCTCAACAAAAACAGATCCCTTCAACCCTTTATATAAATAGTAAAAGCTTTGCAAAGGTATTCATATTTTAATTATTTGGCACTATCATGTCAAATTGTGCATGTCATAGTAAGTAAATCCTCTTAACCTGGACAAATGTACATAAACAACACAACAGCTGGTAACAGACTTCTACTTGTTCTACTGTAAGACCTTGAATCTAAGTAACCTTGCTGCATTAAAGGTGCAACAGCTCGGTTATCTGAAGTCAGGGCCAGGCCGTGAAAATCCTTGTACAGCATGTAATTAGGATTCTTTTATTTTTTTTGATTTCCCTGCAGCATCAGGTAATCAAGGCATACATGACTACATTCCTAAGGGTTCATTCTGCTGATAGAGGATGAACAGTTTCAGAGCATTTACCGAAATACCAAAACATATTGTTCAAGTCACCAAGAATATATTTACTGTAACATATTGATTTGAAGTACCTCTTTTATGACCAATGTGTCACAATATTGAAGAGCGGCTGTTGCCTTTGAGATAATGGCATTGACTGTAACACTGAGTCAGTGTTCAGAGTCAAGTCAAGGGTAAAGAACATGCTCTGGGTGTAACCACAATGAAACATGTGCTCTAATAGGCTGAACCAATAGGAAACAATTCATTTGGTATATGTGTTAGAAGGTTGTTGGACATGGATATCAAAATGAACAATTACAGTCACACAAAGATAACAAATATGACAAGAAAGACAACTTGCTCCTTTCTGGTTATATTTGTGTTGCTTATACATTTGCAAAACCGAAGCTAGCTTTAAGCCGAAGTCCTGTCTTGTTTCAAATCTGATGGAGGCTGCACTTCCTGTTGTTTGTGGACGGTCCAAAGAAATGTGCATTGAATCGTGAGTGTGTTTCTCGCCTTGTCTGGATCAAGTAGTATCTCCTTGACGTTTTTGATAATGTGCATTCCTTAAACCCCCAGTGACAGGTGCTTTGTCATCTTGAATAGGATTCTGGCGGACCACAGAAGAAATGTTTTGTTTTAGTTTGTTGGAAAATAATATATTTGACGCCCTTCAGTGAATTTTGAATTCGAAATATTGGAGGATTGTATCCCTTGAGGCCAAAGTGGGGGAAAGCGAATTACAAATATATTACAGAAAATCACCTATTAAGTTAACTAAATCAAAAGTGATAATGACATGTGGCAATCCAAGAATGACATATTGATTTCCTGGCAGGTTAGACCAACAGATGCCAACAGATTATTGGAGAGCAAACAGGCATGTTGATAATTATTAGTTCTGCAATGTAGAGCAGTTTGTTTTAGCTTGTTTGACCTACTGATTATCAACCACGTCTCTCTCTCATCATCCGGTGTCCTCCTCATCTTTCTCAGCTCACAGTTTACTTTCTGGCCCAATCCCAATTCCCCTGTAAGGACCCTCTGTGACTTGTATTTTAAGGAGCTAGTACAGTACACAGTTTGTGATGAGCTTCAATCCATGTGTCCCAAACATCAAAGAGCCCCTTTTTCCATCCCTGAGATCTAAACCCAGAACTTGAAAGTCTGCTGACCTTCCAAGTGAGCTAAAACAGAACATGAGACAGTCAGATCATGCTGACCTTTCTGACTGACCAACAGATGCTGGTTGTTGTCGTCCATAAAAGCCATCCAAGAAAAGAGCTGATGCCAAAAAGCTGAACGCTGGCAGTGTTTGTGTCACTAGCAGGGACAAAAAAAGCTATTGAAGCCCACTCACCTAATAATTGGGGAAATCCCAAACAATAGCTTTGAGCCAGAACAAGACTGTGGAGACCAGCATTACATTTGGAGGAAAGATACCTCTGTTGTGCATCAGCTTGATACCCCGAGCCTGCAAATTCAATTTAAAAAGAAGCTCAACAGGTGTTAATGACTCATGAGAAAAAAGACTTTTCTGCCA